TCATCCCGACGAGGAAGCCCAACGGACATGTCCAGCCCTCGGCGCCGATCTACTCCCAGGAGGCCTCAGGAGACTCCACAAAGCTTCAGGCCCCAAGGGGCCCCCCAGGAAGCCACAAGAGCCTCCCGAGCAGCCCCAAAGACGCTCCCAAGATGCTCCCACAAGGCCCCCAAACTCACCCCCAGAGGCCTCCCAGAGCGTCGCCGAGAGCTTTCTGGCCGCGCGTTCCGTCCCCCACCAGGAGGCCCCCAACAGCCCCCAAGAGACGTCCCGGCGACCCCAAGAGGCCCCCAACAGGGCCCCAGGAAGCCACAGGAGGCTCCCATGAACCTCCCAAGAGGCTTCCAAGATGCTCTCAACAAGGCATCACTGTCCACCTCCTGTTATTCCGCGTCACACTCATACCATGTCGTTGTGAGGGGCATTCTACGTGCTCCAACAATTATAGAAGCTCTCGGCACTCATACGCCTCCACGGATTCCACACGTCTTCTCGGGCTCCACGAAGAGCTTTCAGGGAAATTCATTCCCAGGCCACTCGGGACGCTCTTCGCCATCCCCACGCTCTCCAAACCCATCCGGCGACTTCTTGGATTCCTTTTGAGCGCCATCGTCCTCGTCGTCGCCCTTGTCGTCGTCCTCGTCATCTTCGTCGTCGTCGTTGTCGTCGTTGTCGTCGTCGTCGTCGTCGTCGTCGTCGTCGTCTCCGTCGTCGTCGTCGTCGTCGTCGTCGTCGTCGCACCTCCTCGTCAACCTCCTCGTCACCCTCCTCCCGGTCGTCCTGATTGTCCTGCTTCCCCGCCTCCCATTCTCCTCGTCCTCCTGCTGTTCATCCCCCCCCCGTCCTCCCCCCCTGCCCCCGCTTCCCCTCCTCATCCTCCTCCGCATCCTCCTCCCTCACCACCTCCTCCTCCTGCTGCTACACAGCGTCCTCCGCGTCCTCATACTCCTCATGATCTTCATTCTCGTGTCCGTCGTCCTCTTCGTCTTCGCTTCGTCGTCGTCGTCTTAAGGGTCGGCGGCGCCGGCCGTAGGGCCTTGGCAATGATACAGAGGCAAGGCAGGGGTAAGCTGTAGATTGTCGTGTCGCTGGCGGGTGGCCTGCCGATTGTTGCGGTTCCCTGTCCAAAGTAGGCGCTCATTTCAGCGTGCTCGCGAGGCCTCGGTCGAACATCGTGCCGCATCGCTCTGCCTCGCCCTGGCTGTGCCCTGCCGTGAGCTGGAGCAGCGCAGCCTCCATTGCATGATGTTGTCTTATACTCTTAGCATTGGGCAGCGCCGCCGAACTTCGACTGCCTTGTCTTCAGTTGCCTGGCCTCCCGATGCCCGTGTCTTCATGGAGAGACACGGCCTTGCTGTGCCCAGGCTTGCTCGCAACGAAATATGCCCCTGCCTTTTCCCGATGTGGCTTGCTGTGCCTCGCCTCGCCCTGCGTCGTCATGCATTTTTTGCGTCTGCCTTATCTAAGTACCCTGTCGTGCCCTGCACTGCAATACGTACTCATTGCGACGTGCCCACCCTTGCCTTCGACTGCGATCGCTTGTTCTTTACTTGCACTACTCCGGCTTGTCCCGGCGACATTCACTCTACATTGCGTTCACTTGACCTGCCTCGTCGACCTCACCAGCAAATCCAGAAACACTTTTGCTAGAGGGCTTGTCGGGATTCTGCGCGTTCCGTTTTGCTCACCGTGCATGTGCCATCTTCGAAGGAACCATAAGATCGAGGAATCAAACTGATACTCTAGGCTGGGGAGCCAAGCTGAGCCGGCGCGGAGAAGACACAACAAGCTAAGAAGCACGGGAAACCAGTGACAAAGGTACCCTGGCCACACCAAAGACAGAGCGGAGCCCTGAGGAGGAGAGAGGGCGATGGCGGAAAGCGTCATGCTTATTGAATGTGTGTGTGTGCGTGTGTGTGTGTGTCTGTGTATGTGTGTGTGTGTGCGCGCGCGTGTGTGTGTGTGTGTGTGTGTGTGTGTGTGCGTGTGCGTGTGCGTGTGCGTGTGTGTGTGTGTGTGTGCGTGTGTGTTCCTAATGGCCCTAAGCGGTCTCTGATGGCTCGGGGACACTTGCCGCGCGCGCGTTTGCCGCTTTTTACCTGCTCCGCCCTGTCGCTGCGCGCAGGGCCACGACGCCAAAAAGTGTGTGCGTGTGTGTGTGTGTGGCATTCGTGCTGCTGCTTCTGCTCCGCCTCCTCCTCGCCGCACTCCTCCTCGAGCCTCTCCTCCTCCAACGACCTGGGCCGACGAGGGCTCATCGCAGCGCTCAGGTTGGGCACTTCTGTTGCTGTCTTTTTTGGAGTCCCGAGACGGTGCGGTGACAGACCGTGCGGTGACCTCGAAATCCCCCAAGACCTCCCCGCACGGCCCATCAACTCACGGTCCTGGGACTTCGGAGGCCCCAGTCGCCCGAGCGTCCCTCGGAGAACGACCCGAGTCCCAAAACTGTGCGGTGACCCCGAGCCCCCACCGACTCGCCACACGGTGAGGTCACCGCCCCGTTCGGGGGCCCCCCATCTCTGCCTTGAGGGAAGGAGGAGACCGGAGCAACAAGAAGCGAAGCGCCGGCACCCCGAGGCCGCGCCCGTGGAGGGCATGCCCAGGGCTGGCCAGGGCTGCCGTCGTGGGGAGCGCCTGCGCGCAGCCCTGGGCCAGGCCAGTCTGGAAGGCAGACCTTCCCAGCCATGTTCTCGCCGTGGAAAAGACACAAAATAAAAAAAACGGGCGCTCTCTGAATAGTATTTTCGGCCTCTCGGGGCCCTGTCGCTGAGCCCTCGGGGGCGTCAACACGAAGAGCTCAGGATGAAAAAAACCGGCCCCTGGGAAAGGGTCAGGACTTCTGGGGACCCCGAACTGAAAAAGAACAGGACGCCGCATGTCTGGGTTGTGCTGCCAAGCACAATGTGTATACCGGGGCCACGCCAGCATCGCGGCTGATCCCTATCCCCGTCCTCCCTGTCGCTCTCCTGGAGGGCGAGGGTGGGTGGGAACCTTTCTGTATGCCAGGGCCGTGCCAACACAACGGTTGATCACTGTACAGTGGAAAACTCTCACCGCCCGTACGAATTCGGCGCCTGGGCTTAATGCACGCGTACCAGAGCATCGACTCAGCGAGACACTGACTCTGCTCCTCCCCTAGTGCGGTGGCTTGTATCGCTCGCCAGGAGGAGAAAGAAACATGGGCAAGAGTAAAGCCAAATGTGCCAACAATGCCTCAGTACGCCCTCCTGTCCCAAGTCCCCTCCTCGTTACTTCAAGCGTTCACTGCCACTGCGCGAAAGGACCCCCCCTGATCATGCGTGTGCACGCATTTCAGGCGGTAGCTTCTTTTCGAAAGAAGCTAGAATGGCTGCGGCAAGGTGGGACCATACAATCAAACGACGCGCCCACAAACAACCCCTCGATTTGAAAAGGAACCACCCTTCGCCCGTGTGTTGCGCAATCCGAAACTTCTGGTGAGAACGGCAAGCGGAACATCAAAGGAACTGATCCTCATCCGTGTAGCTGTCGCACTTCGCTATGGAAGACACGCCTTGCAGCTGACGAGATCTCCAACGCAATCTTGCAAACGGCCCGCCCTCCGTCCGTGTGACTGACTGCTGGCGCCCCCAGCACTGCCTGCACGCTTCGGACTCTCCTTTGGTAGTCCCCAAACGTGGTGGTGACAACACCTGGCGGTGAGTCTCGGGCGATTTGGTGTCATCACCCGGTTTGGGGACTCGTGCGGTTTTCCGAGGATGTCCCGGACACTGGTGGGTCCAGGAGTCACAAAACCCGGTGGTGACCCTGCGTCCCCAAACCCAGCGGTGACCTTTTTGGGGATTCCCGGTCGCCACCTGGTATCTCACCACCCGGATTGGGGGTTCCCAATCTTCTTTGGATGCGTGCCCCGAGACTTCGCCACGCTCTCGCCTGCTGCGGGGCTCTCGCCACGCTCCAGCCCGCGGCCGGCCGCTGCTGCCGCCCGCGGGGCAGGCCCAGGAGACTCCCCGCGCTCTGGCCCGCTGCCGCCCGCTGCCGCCCGGTGGGGGCGTCCCGAGGACCCGCCGTGCTCCTGCCCGCTGCCTCCTCCTTCTTCTCCTCCTCCTCCTCCTCCACCTCCTCCTCCTCCTCCTCCTCCCCCTCCCCCTCCTCCTCCCCCCCTCTGCGGAGGCTGCAGGTCGCGTCCCGAGGAGGCGTGCTCGCTGTGCCGGAGGCGACCGCAGAGACGCCGTTGCAGCACACCGGTGATCCTTTTTGCTCGTCAGCGGCGAGGCGGCGAAGAACTCCGCTCCCGCGAGAAGCTGGAATATAGGGACACTCACACGCGAACTGGCCGGCGAGCAAAGAATGGGGGGGGGGCGGCCGAGCGGAAGGAGGGACGCTCAGACGTCGAAGAGTTCGACGAGGCGCGAACACACCAATTACTCCAGATTTCGTAATAAAGGGAGGGGGGTCTCATTTCGGGGGGGGGTCTCTTCCAGGCTATCTTGGAGGGCCTGGGGGGTCTGGGGACGATGTTTTGGAGGGCTCTCCCACGGGGGAGGTCTGAAATGGCTTGTCTTGGAGGGTCCAGACCCCCTCCCTTTTATTACGAAGTCTGGAGTACACGTCCACAGTGCCGTAACCCACTGCACGCCGCGGCCAGCAGCTCCCACGGCACCGTGGGGGATACCGCGCCGTGGGCGCGCCCAGACTGCCAAGCCCCCCTGCGGAACCCGCGATTTGCGCTCCACAGGCGGAGATATGAAGGGGCCCCAGGACACACAAATCAATACACACAATTAAAATTAATCACCATATTTTCCTATATTTTCTGGGTTTCTGTCTTCCCCCCCCACTTCCCATAGTTCCCCAGATGTTCTGGGGAGTCAAGGATTAATTGTGTCTGTGTGTTTCTTCCTCTCCTGAGGAGGCTCGGGCGCACTGGTGCGAAGGCCGACGCTGGCCTACATGTTTTGTTTGAGAGAGGGTGCGAGCGGAGGAGGGAGCACGAGCGCTGGGCGCGCGCGCCTGGGCGGTCAGGGGCCCGAAGCGGGCGGAGGGGCGGGCGAGCCATCGCTGGAGCACACCTCGCCGTGGCCCCTGGCGGGCTGCAGACACAGGGGCTGCTTGCTGTTGAAGCGGAGGTTCGTCTCCCAAATGATAGCGCCGGCGGCCCAGGTGATGTTCGGCGAGGCCGCCAGGTCCTCCCGGAACTCGATCTGGCTCTTCTAGGGCCACGAACAATGACATAAACATAAGAACTCCGAGGTCCGCGCGGATTTCTCGGATCCGGGCTGGACCCCCCTGGGGGCGCCTCCGGCGCCGCCCCTCGCGCGCTCCGTGAGCCAGGGAGAGGGCTCCAGCGCGGATCCAAGAAATCCGAGCGGACCTCCGAGTTTTTATGTTTATGTAGTTTTTCGTTCCCCTATCTTCTTCTTGTCGAAGCCAAGGCCCACGTGCAGGAGTGCCACGATGTAAGTGGCAGAAAAACAGAGCGTGCGCACGACGTCTTCGGGGTAGTCGCGCAGCCTCTCCCTCAGCGTGGACCAGTCCACTTTACAAATGTACTGCGCGGCTCCCTCGATGTCTTCGAGCTTGGTGTCGCTCGGAAGTGCGAGGACACGGGCAATGAATCCGAATGTGGAAAAGGCAATGAACTGGCGATCCAGCAGCCTCGGCTGATAGCGCCCTCCAAAAGTGCACGGAGGATTGTAGCACGACCCACCCTTTGGAAAGAGCTTCTCCACCTGCGAGGCGCATTCGACGTAGTCCGCCGACCCCACGGCACCCCGCCAGGAGCGACGAAATCTGACCCCCGAGGCTCGATCCCTGCGCACTCGGGCCGCAGGGCTCCGGGTGCCGAAGAACGGCCCCCTGCACTCTTAGGACTCGCCACACCTGGCAGGACAGCCGGCATGTTACCTCCCGCTTGCGCAGGGAGCGAGAGCCGTGGGAGGGGGGGGGGGCAGCGCCGACTCCGTGCGGGGCATCGGTCGTAGGGGTTACCAGGGCATGCGAGCATGGCTGCACGTCATCCCAGGGAATAGGGATGAGCAGGGAAGCCTCGCAGGAGTAAGCGAAAACCCGTGGCTGGTTCCGGCGACCCTGAACCCAAAAGCGTTTCCATCTCTCGGGGCGCAACTTTCTGCGGCGGGCCCGGGGGGGAAGTGAGAAGCGGCGCGCCTTCTCAGAAGGCTCAGAAGTTCCCCGATCTTCTGACACATGTTCTGAGCCTTCCCCGAAGACGCAAACAAACCTCTCAGAAGGCGCAAAAAAAGGTTTCTGAGAAGTCCCGCCGCCTCATTTCCCCCCCTCGCCTCGCCACCGCCGAAGGCCTTTGCCTTCTCATTTACCCCCCTCGCTCGCCGCCGAATCTTCCGCGTCCGCCGGCTTCCGCCGGCCTCCGCTGGCGGCGGCAGCAGAACGAGGCCGCCTCCGCCAGCTTCCGCCGGCGGAGGCGGTCTCGTTCTGCTTCCGTCGCCCTGAGGAGGAGAAGGAGGAGGTGGAGGAGGAGGAGGAGGTGGAGGAGGAGGAGGAGCAGGAGGAGGTGGAGAAGGAGGAGAAGGAGGAGATGGAGGAGGCGGAGGAGGAGGAGGAGGAGGAGGAGGAGGAGGAGGAAAAGGCGCAGTCCCGGCGGAGATGCGCGCGAGCGACCTCGGATCTCCAACCCCGTGCCATACGGCCCTCAGCGGCGGGGTCTCGTTCCCGTCGGCCCCCTCGTCGTCCTCGCTGCCGATCAGGAGCTCGGTGTGGTTAAGGCCCCTGGGGAAGCAGGGGTGCTCGAGGACGGACGAGATCTCGCCCACGAGGTTCTGCGCGATGAGCCTGCGAGTCAGCAGGCGCTGTGCCACCTTGGATGTTCGCCAGCGGGGACCCTAAACGGTGATATCTCTCAGCCTGCTAGGCGCAACAGAGGTGCGCAATCAATGTGGTGCAATCCAGGTGGTGCAATCCATGTGGTACAATCCAAGTGGCCCGAAAGCAGAGCAACGCAAATTATTGCAAAACATCACAAAGCATGCCACGCACGACAAAACAGTGCAAAGCCAGGCAAAGCAATGCGACGCAACGAAACGCGGTGCAGAACAACGCAAAGCAGCGAACCGCGATGCCGACCCATGTGCAGCCACAAAGCAGTCCAGAGCGGTGCAAAGCGATGCAAGGTCGCGCTGCAGAGCATGGCAAGGCCATGCAGAGCGCTGCAAAGCGCCGCCATTGCAATGCAATGCGACGGCACCGCAGAGCAATGCGACTGCGCAGCAACGCGGCTGCTGTGCAACGGGAGGGACGGGTGCCACGGGGCGGCGACGGACGGGAACGGGAACGGGGCCGCCCGGCCCGCACGCGGGCCTCGCCTCGGGAAGACGCGTGCAGCGACGGCTGGGAACAGGGCTACCGGGGCCGCGCACGCGCCCGGCTCCCCACTTGGATCGCCGCGGGGGCTGCTGAGGGAATGGGGGAGGGTTAGAAGCAGATGCCCAGCTGGGCCCCATCCTCAGCTTTAAGCGGGTTGCACGTGCCCTCGGTGGCTTAGGGTGATGAGACAACTCCGCTACGTGAGCTCCCGCCCACTTTGCCCGGATCCGTGCGCCCTTCAGCCACTTAGGGCACGTGCAACCCACTGCCAAGCTGGGTGAGGCTGGATAGAACCCACCTTGGCATCCACTTGTATCCCCCTATCCTCTCAGAAACCCCCGCGGCGATCCAAGTAGACGAGTAGGAAGGATCCCCAGGTGCAAGCACTGTTTGGGGAATTGAGAACATTTAAAGTCTCCGTGAACATAGATTTCGGGAGATCCGCGCGGATTTCTCGGATAGTCGTTGGACCCCCTCCGCTGGCTCGCGCCCGGGGCGGCACCGGAGGAGCCGCCAGAGGGCTCCAGTACCGGTCCAAGAACTCCGCGCGGACCTCCAGAAATCTGTGGTTGCACAGGTCGTTACCACTCACACCTTGTAGCCGTACTGCAGGTACGACTGGGAGTACAGGTTCGTCTGCGTGCCGCCCAACAGCAGGGGGTAAGAGCTCCCCAGGACCTCGCCTGCCTCAGAGAGCATGCCGGGTCGGACGGAAGCGAGGCAAAGGCAATGCTCAAGTTCACGCGGTCTGGCGCTTTCGCAAAGCCGCTGAGGGAGGGGAGGAGGTGAGATGAGATGAGATGAGACGACACCTGGGAAACGTCCAAGGTGGAAGGGTCCAGCCCCAAAAAACAAAACTTGGGGAGGGTACACCATCAGAGGAAGATGTGTCGGGCAATGCACGGGGTGGGCGGGGAGGAGGGATCGAAGGGAGGGGGGGGGGAGAAGGAAGCGAGTTCGCGGGCCCGGCCGCGGCGCTCAGCCTCCTCCAGCTTCCCGCGGACGAAAGCGAGGTATAGCTGCAGCCGGCCCGTAGCATGAGGACGCGCGGGAAGGATGCAAGGGCCTCGGACGCTCACTTCGAGGCTCCTCGAGCGGGGCGCGGCCATCCCAGAGTGGCCAAGGATGGACCGAGGAGGCAAGGATGCAAGGGCCCCCTGGGGAAGGTTGCACATCCTTACTATGCGGGTTGGCTGTAGGGGGAGGGGGAGGGAGGAGGAGGAGGAGGAGGAGGAGGAGGAGGAGGAGGAGGAGGAGGAGGAGGAGGAGGAGGAGGAGGGGAGGAGGAGGAGGAGAGGAGGAGGAAGGGGAGGAGAGGAGGAGGAAGGAGGAGGAGGAGGAGGAGGGGAGGAGGAGGAGGAGGAGGAGGAGGAGGAGGAGGAGGAGGAGGAGGAGGAGGAGAAGGAGGAGAAGGAAGAGGAGGAGAAGCAGCGGAGAGCAGCGGCAGGACGTCGCGTCGGCCAGGCCAACTAGACGCAGCACAGGCGGCCAGGGGGCCGCAGCCTCAGGGGAGGCCAGTGATGCCGATCACGTCGACGGACGCGAAGGGCGGCGCGCTGGGGCCAGACCGCCGCGCAGCGCCGTGCGGCGAGCCGCTGGGGCCAGAACGCCACGCAGCGGCTGCCCGTGCCAGGAGAGGCCGACCCTCAACCACTTCTCCGTCGCCTCCTGCGTCCCGCATTCCACGGCACCGAAGGCGCTCTGAGCGGGCCAATGGGCGGTGGCTGCCCTTCCCGCCGCAGCTCGGCCAGCCACGTCCGCAGGCACACGTAGTCGTAGCGCCGCATGCAGTCCGACACGATCCTCTGCGACCGCGTCAGCGTGTGGCGCCACCTGTAGTAGGCCCGCCTCGCGGGCATGCCAGTCCCCCAGGCCCGCTCGCAGATCTCCTCGGCCATCTCCTCGGCCGTCCTCCCACGCGCCCGCAGCCTGGTGGCGAAGCGCGGCTGGGACAGGATCTGCGTGACGTAGCCGACGCAGTGGTCGAGCCACTCGCTGTGGCACTCCATCGTCTCGCCGACCTCGGGAGCCTGGGTCCAGTACCGCGCCCATCCAGCGACCTGCAGCTCAAGCCTGGGCGCGACGCTGCGCCTCGGCTGCGCTGGCTCAGGCCGAGCCACCGCAACTCTGCCAGCACTCAGGGCGGGGCCGCACACACGGTCGGCACTTGCAGGTCCCCTGCCACCCCTGGTGCTGGCCATGCACATGCCGTCGCGGTCCGCGTCGCTTCCTGGGCTCAGGGCGGGGCCGCACTCACGCACGCACATTGCAGGTCCCCTGCCACCCCTGGCCCAGGCCGTAATCCGTCGCCGCTCGGGGTGAGGAGGAGAAGAAGAGGGGGGGTACCAAAATCTGCTCCCGCAGCTGGCGTCTTCCCGGCACCGCAGGCGCCCAGGTGCCGAGGAAACAAGCGCCCCGCGGCGGGGCCGAGCCCCCGGGGGCGTGCAGCGGCTGTCGTAGGCCCCTGTCCTCTCGCAGTCACCCCGCGTGTCGTCCTCCTCCCTCCTCCTCCTCCTCCTCCTCCTCCTCCTCCTCCTCCTCCTCCTCCTCCTCCTCCTCCTCCAACCTCCTCCTCCTCCTCCTCCTCCTCCTCCTCCTCCTCCTCCTCCTCCTCCTCCTCCTCCTCCTCCTCCTCCTCCTCCCCATCCTCCTCCTCCTCCTCCCCTCCTCCTCCTCCTCCCTCCTCCTTCTCCTCCTCCTCCTCCCTCCTCCTCCTGCTCCTCCTCCTCGAACTCCTCTCGAAATCCCCCTCCTCCACCTCCCCCTCCGATCATCCTTCTCTTCTCCCTCCTTCCTCCTCCTCTCCTTCTCCTCCTCCTCCTCCTCCTCCTCATCTCTTCCACCTCCTCCCCTCCTCCTGCCTCCTCCTCCTCCTCTCCTGCCCCTCACCCTCCTTCTCCTCCTCTCCTCCTCCTCCTCCTCCTGCTCGCCTCCTCCTCCTCCTCATCCTCCTCCTCCACCCACTCCTCCTCCTCCTCCTCCTCCTCTCCTCTCCTCCTCGTCCCTCGTCCCTCACTGACCTAATGACTCCCCCATCCTCCTCCTCCTCCCTCCTACCCCCTGCCTCCTCTCCTCCACTCCTTCTCCTCCTCCGTCCTCCTGCTTCTCTCCTCCTCTCTCCTCCTCCTCCTCTCCTGCTCCTCCTCCTCCTCGTCCTCCTCACTCCTCCTCCCTCCTCCTCCTCCTCCCTTCTCCCCCTCCTCCTCCTCCTCCTCCTCCTCCTCCTCCTCCTCCTCCTCCTCCTCCTCCTCCTCCTCCTCCTCCTCCTCCTCCCCCTCCCCGGTGGTCTGGCACCGCGGGGGTCTTGCCATCGTTCGGACGCCCATGCCCCTTGCAGTTGTCGGTTCCGTGCGTGTTATTGATATCGTTCGGACGCCCATACCCCGTGTATGCGTTCGGCTCCGTGCGTGGTATTGTTTAGCTGTTGCTCGGTGATCCAGGATGCTCTTCGATGGTCCTCGCCGAACAAAAACACACTCTCTCTCTCTCACACACACACACACGCTGACACACACACACACACACACACACACACACACACACACACACACACACACACACACACGCGCGCGCGCGCGCACGCACGCACGCACGCACGCACGCACGCACGCTTGCGCACGCACGCACCGCACACACGCACACACACACACACACAAACACACACACACACACAGTCCGAGCGATGCCACCGCAGGGGGTCTTTCCCTCTGGAGCGACCGCGTCCCTCCGACGGTGCAGGGGCGTCCTCGGTGTGGTGGCTGACCTCTTGCAGGCCACGGGCAGCAAGGCGCCCCGAAAACGCCCGCACCCGGGGAGGCCGAGAAGGGAAGGAGGCCGAGGAGGACGTGGAGGAGGAGGAGGAGGAGGCCGAGGAGGAGGATGAGGAGCAGGAAGACGAGGAGGAGGACGAGCAGGAAGAGGAGGAGGAGGAGGAGGAGGAGGAGGAGGAGGAGGAGGAGGAGGAGGGGTTGTGGCCGCATCGGCGCCACGCGAACCTTGCTTTTGCCAGCGCAACAACCTGGGAGAATACCTTGAAAAAAAAGGATCGATGATTTTTCGCCAATCGACCTGCTCGCACCAGCTAAATCCAGGCAGATGCCGATATATCACGGCAAATCCATGTATATCTGTGCAGATCCAAGTAAACCCATAGATATCAACGCGCAAGAAATCCATACATATAAGCCCTTGACGGGAGAAGGAGGAGGGGCACGAGTGACGAGACGACCTCGACAACTCTCGGGCTTGGTTGGACCCAGATGGCAGGACTCTTGAAAATGACAACGGCAACCAAGCGGCGACCGGAAACGGCAACAAACGTGGATCCAATATTAAAGAAAAACGGCGACGGAACTGGCAAAACAAGTGGGACGGAACCAGTGATCAATCTGCGAAACGGAACCGGTAAAAAAACAACCCTGTCGTTTCCAGGGCCCTCGAAGCTTTCGAGACGCACACGCACTCCCTGGCAACGCGCGACAGAGGCTGGCCACCACGGCACCAATGCAGAGTTTGCCGTGCCGCACCTACCATAACGCAAGTGCGCCAACGCAGCCAGACAGCCTCCTCAGCCCCAGGGTAATGAGGAGGAGGACGCGGAGAGGAAGGAGGAGACTGACTGACTGATTGAACCTGCATCAATGCCGAAATAGGTCTGACTCAACTCTAATTCACCGCAGAGCCCGAATGCTATATAATCTGTGCCTTCACAGCGATGCGGGAACACCTGGGGGCCTTAAACACAAAAGAGAGCGCTGGGCCAAGGTGGCGCTGCTCTCTGCGCCGGCTTGGCACTGGCATGACCATCGCGGCGCGGGGGTGCTGGAACTCTGTCTGCGGCCTCTGGGTTCCGTCAACAGAATTCTCCTGCGAAGCGCCGCAAGTCTCTGGCCCCGCGCGAGGTCAGGGGCGGAGGGCGGGGCCCACCTACTGGAGCCCCTCCTGGCATCTTCGTCATCCCTGCCGCCCTCATGCACAGAGAGAGGGGCCTGCCGACCGCGATGTGTGCGAACCTGCTGTTGCGATCTATCTCCTGCGGGTGCGATTGGATCGTGTCCAGCTCGTCCTCTTGCGCTGCGGTCTGACCCACTGGCCCGCGCCCTACCACCGAGAAGAATTCTGCCCAGCTGTGGGCCGGCCCGGGGACAAGCTCTTAAATTCTCCCCAGCCGTGGGCCGGCCCGGGAGCAATCTTTTGAATTCTCCCCAGCCGCGGGTCGGTCCGGGGACAAGCTTTAGAATTCTCCCCAGCCGCGGGTCGGCGGTTGGGCCCCCTGCTTCGTGAAATAATTGCTCGCCCTGCAGCCGTGGGCAAAATCTCCCATCTCCGGCGACTCGCTCTCTTCGACGCGCTGCTTGCGCGGGCGCTTGAGCCCCCGAAACAGTACCGCTGTGTCCTCCGATGTGCCGTCCAGGTTGGTAGCCGCGAGAAACCCGGCGAGGCTGGCGAATGCGCGCAGGTGCTGGCTGCCCAACTGATGACCGCTACCTTGTGCTTATATATATATATATATATATATATATATATATCTTGGTGTCTGATTTCCTCGCTGGCGGCTGGACGTCTTGCGCAGCTTTCAACCGCTTCAACATCGAACGCGCGCGCATGCGTGTCCAAGTACTCTCGTGCGTGCACGCGCGGGCAATGCTGGCCTAGGAACGCAGGCGACTGAGCAGGACAATTGCAAAGTGTACACTGCGCGCACATGCGCTCCACGCGCGCAGGGTCGCGCGCATTGAAATCCGTGATGCAACATGTGTGTTTAATTGTTGCTGCTAGGTGCCAGCGGGCTGTTTCTATATCCGCAAACGTTCTTTGGCAAAGCAGGCAGTAATTGGAAAGCGCGACAGCGCGCGGCGCGAAATTCGGTCTTGCGAGCAGGTGCGAGCAGGGATCCTCTTGCACTGCCCACTCTTGCGCAGACTCGATTCATGCGTACTATGAGCGCCTTGTTGCTCTTAAAGCTCCCGTCGCAAACTGAACGAACGATTTCCCCGCGCCCTCCCTGCGAGGAAGCCGGGGGCATTCCTAGCTCCAACCCCTGGGGGGGGGGGCCAACGGGGTGGCGCCCGAGAGCTCTCTGGGCCCGAATTGTGAAACATCGATTTTCGGAAAAAATCGGTCGAGTTCCACCCGGAAGGAAAAAAAAAAAACAACAACAACAAACAAAAAAAAAACCCAAGAAGCACAACAAAAACCTTGCCCTCCAGCCCGGGCTCCAGCTCGCGCCAGAACAGTTCGTTGCACGCGTGCACCGCGGGAAGAAACTCGCCCTCGCTCGAGATCTCGCATTGCGCCTGCCTGGTCAGCGCAGCGATGACCTGTCGATGGCCATTGTGTTTCGCCACCGTGTCCTGCCATTCCAGCCAGCAACTCATGCGCTCCACGAATAGACTGCCAAACCTCCGGAATCACGGTGCGCAAGACTTCTATATGACTGGGCGCGCGTACTTTCTGTCTTGACGCATGGTGCGATCACCCAGGAGGACCACTCTCGCGCTCTTGAATACTTTCTGCTGGAGGGACTCGAGGCACTGGCTGGCGATGGGTTTGGTCACGCTGGCGACGCGCGACCCCGGGCCCGACATGGCCGCGTTAACCGCCACGCGAACGCGATCCCTTTGAACCGGACCGAGACCTGCGACGTTGACCAGAATTTGCCATTCTGTGCCGCGCTGTTTTGGCTGTTTGCATCCTGATGCGTGCGTGTTTTTTTTTTCGGCCGAGAACCCTGCGTTGATGCGATGCTGGCACCCGAGATACCTAGCCGCCGAGACTGTCGCGCCCTCTGGCCCAAGACGCCCTCTACGAAACTCGCGGTTGAACTTCGCTGCCTGAACCCCAGCTCCTTGCACCAGATCGTCTTGTTTTCCCCTGTGCTGAACTCGCCCGATCTGCCCCAGCCCGAAATCACAAACTCTGCTCTCGCATTCCGCAACCTCCTGTGCGCGATGTCGATCATACACCGCGATGTTTCTCGCCGCGTCGTCGACGAAAGCTGAGGCGGCCAGGTCGACCGCGCTCGCGTCATGCTGGGACTGGATGGCAGCAGGCATCGTCGCGTGCAACGCCCTCTGCCACGGGCCCCCGTCGAATGCCCCGCGCGCGCGCCCGGCGCCACGCCCGCGCGTCTTGGCGAAGAGCTTCGTGGCAGCATGGTCCCCTGACAGTGCGCCTGTCCCGTTCGCCATGCGAGCACTCTCCTGTCCATCTGCGACAATGAAGGCACTGTTGTATACCCTCTGTAAACATAGATCTCCCAACACCTCCAGCACCAGTTCAACGATAGCTTCTTCCACCATGTCTTTCTGGACACAATAGAACGCGTTGCTGGCGCCACGGCGCCGCGTGATGCGCGCCACTCCTGCTCTCCTCAATCGCGCTGAGCCAAGCTATTGTACGAGCATTGCGCCCTCTCTCCTCCGATGAGGTATTCCCCCTGTGAGCCGTGCAGGGAAACTCCGGACGTTCTTTTTCATCATTGATCTGAAGAAGGATCTGCCAGTTCCCGCAGAACACCATGATGGGTCGCCGTCCTGCCGCGCCTAGCCTGTCGCTGCGCATGGCCAGCCTGCAGCGAGCCGCCTGGTGCCGCGACGCGGGGGCCCTGGCCACCGTGCGTATCGCCCTGCACAATGAGTAAGTATCCCTGACGAACTCTGGTGGCTGCAACTCTGCCTCTTCCTGCCGATGTCCCAGCCCTCCTCCTCGACGCGGTCGGTAGTGCCAGTTCGGCGTGGCTATAGCTCTCAGCGCGTCTCCTGGGGCAGACCATTTTGACAGTGCTCTCCACGGCGGCAGCTTCTTGGGCGACTTGCGTAGTTTCTCAACTGCCACCAGCGCGTCCTCATGAACGACGATGAAATTCTGATGTGTTCCTCTTGCTGCGGGCTAATCCATTCCAGGCGCGACGGTTGATGATTTGCTGCGCGGTCCAGGCCTCCGTAGCGAGTGAAAGAAACAAGCCGGAAACAAACGGTCTCCCTGTGCTCCTCACTCTGCACCAATAACTGTGCCTGTGCTCCTCCTTGTGGTCCAGGTTGCTGGAATTTGGAAATCCAGCCTGATGCTGCGGCTCTCGTCGCGGGTACTCCGTTGTGCGTCCTTCCTCTTGGTCCTCGACACGCACGCGCTAACAATGTCGCTATCGTGTGTGCATCATATAAACGTCTCGATCTCCAGGCGCCCCCGCAATCCTTCGACGCGTGTCTTCGTAAGTGGTTTGATAAAATGCTGCGTGCACTTCTTCAGTTTGCCGACTCAATCTGCAAACCAACGAATGCATGTCGCCAGAAAGCAGTTGATCTGTTGACTTCGCTTAGCGGCGTGCAGCCAGTAGCTCCTTCAATTGCTCAATTTGTACCAGCGTGTCCTCCTTCTTCTCAATGTATGTTGGTGCCTCCCTAAGTGTGTCCGAGGTTCTTGCAGCACTTGCATCACTTCAGAAATCAGCGAATCCACGTCTCCATCGTGCCCCCAAGCCTCGAACTCACTCCAGCGTTGTATGTCTGTGTGGTGCGACAGCCTCTCCATAAGCCTAGTTGCTCAACTTGCCGAACCCCGGATGCATGAAAACATGATCTATTGGGTAACTGCCTGACCACCTCACCCAGCTCCTGATCGTGGTACCTTGGATGGTCAAGAATTTTCGCGGCCTTGTACTCTGCAAATACATCATGTAGCTCTGGCGGGCGCGGAGAGGGTGAGCGGGTTGTACACTAGCGCCCACGAGCATCGCCAACCGCCGCCGCTCTCCTCCATGGCCCGTTCATGCTGTCATGTTTCGAAAGCTGGAGGGGACCTGTGGGTAGTCTGTCCGCTAGAGCTGCCTGGGATCTCTCGATCGAAAGGGGCAGCTAGCAGGAGGAGGGGGAATAGGTGGAGGAGGAGGAGGGAAAAGGAGGACGCGACAAACACCGTTCTTCCTGTCCGTTCAACGTCAAAAATCAAGAGGGAAGAGATGGATGAGCAAGGAATTGACGTCCCCAGGGTCCGAAAACAGCCTCCAGGCGAGGGAGGCGTGCACACGCCTCCAGACGACCTCTCCTGCTCCTCTGGGCTGCCTGCTGTCTTTGAGGGTTCCCTCGCGCCTGGGGCACGAACGTGATCTGGAAGGACGCCCCTCCGAGGTCGAGCATCCCGACCGAGTCAAGCGGGCTCCCGAGGTTCCCCAGGACGGCGTTCAGGGCGAGCCAGCCGAAGGCTCCCTCCTCAGGACATCCGACGTCGCAGTTTTGTCCCATGCCACTGCTTTCGGGCCCCAGTGCGAGAAACTGGCCTGGTGGGAGGGGTCGGGACTTCCAGAGACCCCGCAGCGAAAAAACAAGACATCGGAAGCATGGTCCCTCCCTCCCTTTGGGACAGAACGAGATCATGCACCACCACCACCTTCTTGAGGAGCGAGAGGGTCCTCCCGGTGGTGTGGTCCCCCTGTTATGCGGCGTCCCGCACGGGCAATATCTCTAGTCTCCAACCGCGGGAGGCACTGTGGGCCACCTCTCGAGGTGGCCCGCTGGTAGGGGTGGTGTCGTTTCTGCTCCCTCCAACTCCTCCTCGCCGCTCAGGATCCGCACGAAGTCGTCCTGTTGCGGCGCGCGAATCCCTAAGGCCCGGACGCCGCATCGAAACCACGGACGTTTTATGCGCTGCCGCCGCCCCTGAAGGGGGCGGTTCCCTGGGCCCCAGGACTATCAGGAGCGGTTCAGCGCGAACTGCTGGCCCCAGGGAGGGGGTCGAGATCCCTGAGCGCCCGTGCAACTACCCAGCAGTCGGAAGAAGTAGGTAGAAGCATGAAGTAGGAAGGCGTTGAAAGCAGATTGGGTGTCCTCCCGCCCCCTAAGGAGGACGGAACAGGTGACACCAATCGATGATTGAAGTCGAAAGGCGCCTAAAGTAGATTGGAATCTGGGGCTCCAAAAATACGTACTTTCAACGACCGGCGGGTAACAGCAGCAGGGCAATCGGAGGACAGGCAAGTGCAGTCGGAGGCGGGGGGCGCGGCCTTCCGGGAAAGCAGGAGGAGGCATTGCTCGAAGCGCACCGAGGACTCTACAAGGAACCTTCCTGGAAGGCGTGCTGGCTCATGAGAACCCGCCAAGGACCATCATAACGAGGATCTAGAAAAGGCGCCCAGGATCATCATCATCAGCATCATCATCAGCGTCAACAGCATCGTCATCATCATAATCATCAGCATCATCATACTAACCGTCATCAACACCAGCAGCATCATCATCATCATACTCATCATCATTATGCTGCGATCTACCAGATCACGTTTATTATCCAGGTGAACCCCGAACTTTATCATCCCCAAGAGTTTGATATCAGGGGCACAGGGCTACTCCTCTCTCGAGCCACCCCTTTTCCAGACATCCGCCGGCGTGTTCTCTGCAAGCCCGTGGGCCTCAGGGGGGGCCGATCCCTTTCTCAAGGGCAGCGCTTCTCTCTGCTGCGTGCAAGAGGAAGGGGCCCTGGGCAAGAGTCTTGCCTGGCCCGCGGAGGGGCCAAATCCAAGCGCGTAAGCCAGTGTTCTACGACGAACCATCAAGGAACCAAAAACACACACACACACGATGCATGAATTCCCTCGGCGGCGTCAGCCCGTGCGGAAAATTCGAACCGACTCATGACTGCCAGACACAGCAGCATCATTGGCAAGACGTTACAGCGAACGTTGGAAGCTTTTGCCAGACCCGGCACGCACCACCAGATCAGTCAATCCAAGCGCGCAAGCCAGTGCTGGGTGGGTGGCCCCTTGTGACCGCACCAGAGGTCACGCAAACGCAGAGTCACTCTTCTGCGCAGCTGGCTCCCTTCCGCGGCCCACCGATGATGTGGCCAGACTCCCCGCATGCAGATTTTCTTGACGTCCACGACGCCGCCTCCAGACCCTGACGTTCAGGGAGACAGCCTGCAGAGGAGGGGGATGCAGGCTGCACTGAGTGGCTAAGCCAGACGGCCAACCCTGACTCTGCACGCCCCCGCTGGCCAACGCCAACAGGACAGCGCACTGGAGGCCCAAACGGAGGAAGCAGACTGCGGGATCGAGAGAGCGAGTCCCTCGGAGGTCTCTGGGGGGGCTTCCGGCGCGCCGCCGAGGGTCCTGGAAGTGGAACTGCGACCCCCGCAGGACGTCCCGGATGTCGAGCAGCAGCTTGTCCCTGTGCTCTGGGCGCTCGCGTCGGAGGCCCGCAGTGGCCATGAGGTAGATCGGGAAGTGGTCCCAGTCCTGGGGTGTCCAGAGCACCATGCTGTCGAGACTGACTGCAGAAGACACCGGGAAGTGCACGGGTCTCTTCTCGGGGCAAGCCGTGTTCCAGGCACTCTTGTTTTGTCGCGGCGCTGACAGCAAAGCTGCACCATGGAGGCGGTAGGGGGACAGGGCAGCCCCTGAGATGGGGACTGAAGGTTGGGCAAATCCCCCATGCTCCAGACACGAAGACGTCGCAAAACGCGATGCACATAGCACAGGTGGCATCCTCAATTTTGCAGGGCAGGCCTACAGTCAAACCTAGGCCAGAAGAGCATCTCTCAAAAACACTATACCCTCCGCCGGCCAAAACGCACAGAACATCCACATGTACCCTCCCCAGGATGTCCAAGAGCACCCAACAAGCACGAAGAACCTTAGGTACCCTCCCCGAACCGCCCTCGATCTTAGATGTACCTCGGACGGTCTGCACGAAACAGACCCGAATGCAAACGCAACTCCTCGTAGATCCGCGCAAAAATCTCGGGTGGGCACCGGCCCCCCGGGTCTCCCCGCCACCGCTGGGCGGCGCCTTCGGCCTTGCACCTGCGCACGCTCCGCGTTCAGGGAAAGGGGGGTGGCGAGGGTGTCCAGCGCCGTCTCCACTCAAACCCGCGCGGACCCCCGAAACTGTCTGCTAGGACGAAGCCAGCACGAGGGTAAACTCGGGTGCAGGTAAAAGCCAAGAATCTCCGAGATCCGACGGCTCTGGAGGACGTCTCGGGCGCCGCGGCCTTCCCCTCAGAGCGTTCCGGAAAGCTCTGAGAGCGTTCCAGGACGCTCTGGAACTGACTTATCCTCGTCCTGGCCCCGTCCAAGGGAACAGGGGTGTGGCGAGGGGGGCCCAGCGACGTCTCAATTGAAATCCGCGCGGACCCCCGGAACTGTCTGCTAGGTCGAAGCCAGCACAAGGGTGAACTCGGGTGCGGATAAAAATGGAGAATCTCTGATAGATCCGTCGGTTCTGGAGGCTGTCTCGGGCGCGCCGAGGCCTTCTCAGAGCGTTCCGGAGAGCTCTGAGAGCGTTCCAGAACGCTCTGAAACAGACTTCTCCGCGTCCTGGCCCCGTCCGAGGGAGGAGGGCTGTGGCGATGGGGGTCCAGCGTCGACTCAATTGACATTCACTCGGACCCCCGGAACCTGTCTTTGAGCAGGGACCGACCGTCCCGCCATTCCTGTAGGCCTACCACGGCATGTTCTTAGAACCCAGAAATGTTCTAAGAGCAAAACCAATGTTCTTCGAGCGTAATCCCGATGTGTTAAAACAAATAAGTCACAGCCAAATGTGTTCTAAGAACATTTCCTGAAACCACAAAAGGTTCTTAGAACATTCTTTGGCAGGCCTCTAAGCGAGCCAGGACGCTTCGCCACTGCTTGATGTCTGCGCTTGCCCCGTCGGAGTCCTCCCGGCGGCCGGCGAGGGTGCTCTGCGCGAAGTCCACCAACTGCGCGAGGGACTGGTTCACGGAGTCGGGCTTCCTGGACGAGATGCCCGGACGGACGCTTTTCGTCTCGATCATCCTGGGGACCTCGGTTGATAGAGGCCTCCTAGATGGGGTCCGACTAGATAGGGTCCGAGGATCACGCCGCATCGCCGATGCATCGGCGATACATCGCCGATGCGTTGGCGATGCATTGGCGACGTCGGCGGTGCATCGGCGACGTCGGCGTGGGAAGCACGGGCTCCGCATCGAGCCGCATCGTCGATGCATCGGCGATGCGGCGCGATCCTGCGAGCCCATCCACTCCGACCCCATCTGGAAGGCCTAGAGATGAGCAGCCGAGAGATGGAGAAGGGGTGAGGGGACGCAGCAATGAAGCGTGGGGGCCTGGGCGCAACGAGCAAGCAAGACTTTGCAGAAGAACTGCTCGAGCGTCCTGCGATCGATGTATTTCTTAACCTGTGTCTTTCCTCGTGTGCCCACCTAGTTGCCCGCCTGCTCACTCGCTTCCCAGAACTCCCCCATGGCTTCTCGGTGGTAAGTGATTCGCACACGCACGCCATGACAAACAACGGGCGCGCGTGTGCTGACACACCTGGCTGCTGCCTTCCAGGTGCTCGAGCTATCACTTGAAGAGGGTGCGTGCTTAGTAGCTTCCTTGCTCAAGCGTCGACCCTCGTATAAAAAAGAGTCGACAGGACCCTGCCCGCTGGGGCGTCCTCGGCGCGTGGAACAACAACTGCCCCTCCCCAAACAACCAATCCCTCGGGAGCCCAGGACGGCCGATTTGGAGAGGGGGGGAGGGTTCCCCAAGGGAGGCATGCGGGTCCAGCTGGCCCCAAGCTCCCAGGCACGCCACGACTGCCCAACAGAGCTGCTTGAGGGCCCTCGAGTGCTCCGGGTCGGCCCGAGATCGGTCCAGGGGGGTCCCAGAGAGCTCCAACAAAGCTCCGAAGGCTCCGACGCCTGACCAAGAGGGCGCAGAAGCACCTCATGACGGCGCAGAGGTAGCTAACAGCTCTGGATTTCCACAAACAAAGGTATCCATGTTTGGCATGCTCGACTCTTCGGCCTTCAGCGCCGCCCCAAAGAGGGCTCCAAGAGGGCAAGCTGCCCGAGAGACCGCCAGAATTACCTGACATATCGCCGAGAGACCCCCATGAGTCGCCCTAGAGGGGGACTCGAAGGGGCCCCGTGAGCCCAACCCCACCCCCCAAGAGGCTCCCACGAGGCCGCCATCGAGGCCCCCCCCCCAACGAGGCCCCGAAACGACCCCACGGGGCACCTTTTGAGCACGGCTCGGGGCTTCTCAACAAGGGCGCCACGGCACTATTGCTACGGCTCTACGACGCGGCCCCTCGGAAGCGGGGTATCCAGGACTCCCGAGGGGTCGGCGTGGCGGCGCCCCTCTGAGCCCCGTCGGCGTTTTGAGTCCGTCCGGCCGCCGCACAGGCTCGAGTCCACGATGGGAATCTCGCACGCTCGGCGGCCGAAGGAGGTCGACCTGAGCCCGTTCGGCGGTGGAACGGACTTAGACGCCGAATTGGTTCCGAGGCGAATCTCGGGTCGGGCGAAAGGGGGGGATAGCAAAGGGGGGGTTTGAGAATCAGCTCACGTAGCTGATTTTCCCAGCGGCTCCCGGCGCCGGGAGGCGGCCATGTATCGAGGAATGGGCCCCTCGGCGGGGCCGAAACCAGCTGCATGCAGCAAATTTCATAACCCCCCCTTTCCCAATCCCCCCCTTTCGTTCGGCCCGAGAATCCCGGGGGGGGGGGGTCCCCTGTCTTGCGGCGTCCCGCTCGAGATGCCTCCAATCTCCAGCGTGGGGCGGCATCGTGGGCCTCCTCGCTAGAGTGGGCCCGCGGGCGGTGGCCGCGCCCCTCCCCCCCAAGTCGGGGGCGTCCAAGAGGGGGGCGTCCATGAGGGCGGGGGGGGGGCATCCGTCATGGCTGGCTGCACGTGCGCGGCGCAAGGGGGGGAGCTGGGGACGCATTGAAATGAGAAGAGAGGCGCCAGGAAGCCTGGGGAGATAGCAGCATGGCCCCCGCCATGAGATCCCCCCCCCTAGTCATCCCCCCCTCTCCGCCGCCCCCGACCGAGAGCACCTCTCGATCCCTACCTGGGGACCTGCCTGTGATGCTGAGCAGCTGCTGCGGACGCTCCTGGGCCACTGAGGGGCCCGAGACTGGGCCTCTGGGGGGGGGCCCAAGCAGGCGAGGCACCCGTCCTCCTGACACCCGGCGATCACAGATGTTTCCCATCCGCGGCCCGACCACCTCTCTCCGGAGGTAGGCTTGCGTTAGGTCGGGCGTGTCCCCCATACAGGCATATTTCGACGGAAAAATCTAAAGTACCAACAAAAAACTCGCAAATGGTCAAACAAGAATCCAACAATCGCCCCCGATGTTTTTAACTATCTTTTGATCTTCCTCCTTTCGAGGGACAGGCCCGACTCAAGGCTTGCGTACTGGATGCATGTTTGATTGTTCCCGGAACCCAGCAGCGTTCCCCGTGGGCCGAAACACAGGCGGCACGCGTGCCATGGCTCTTGCACCAAGGAACTGCGAGGGACAGGACGCGCTCGCCTCCTTCCTCCAGGAGTTTCCTTCCGTGGCCAGGGGGGGGGGGGGGCGGACGGCGAACGACGAGCGAACGACAAACGAAAACGAAGAGGTCCGAGCTCTAGAACACAGCTGTGCAAAAGAATTATCAGAACGCCGGGATTGGGAAAATCAGGTCGTTGGGCCCGTCGATGCGGGAAGAACGCGGCGGCGGACCACCACGGGGGATGGCTTGTCGAACGCGCACGGCTGCGGCTCCCACCCGAAGATGTGCGCCCGCACGCCTGGCAGCCGCAGCGGGATCGCGAGAGGCCGTGAGCAAACTAGCCCTCTCCCCTGTGGCGAAGACCTAGGGGGCCGACATGGTGAACAAACAAACACGACGTCGCTGGTTTGGAGAGTGCGCTGGGTGCGCTGTTGCGGCATGCTCCCGCGGCGCTGGGGGGGCGCCTTGCGACGCGGACATCCTGCTGCTCCAAGAGAGGAAGCGACGTTTCCAGAAGCTTTCCGGAATCGTCCTCCCGCCTCGGGATGGTTTCCCACAAGTTCGCCTCGTCAAGAGCGCGCTCCGAGAACACGGCGCCCAACCCAGGGTGCGCTACTGAGCCCACTCGGCGTCTGAGCGGCGAGAATCCCACGAGCAACTTGGCCTTGAGCCCGTTCGGCTGCCCAATCGATGGCCGCGTGCGCTCACACGCTGAGAGGGGCTAGAAGGGAACACATGTGCACGGGCTCAAACAAGAGGCAAGCGCTGGGGTGGAAAACTCGATCTGCTAGAGATTGTCTGGAGACGAATGAGCCGAAGGCGCAAGGAGGTCCCGAGGTGGGTCGGGACGACATCTTGCCCTGTAGATTGCCTGGAATGCGGCGGGGCCCATCTCGACGAGGCGGGCTGGGGCTCAACCAGAGTCGGAAGGCGATGATGACGACTCTGCGGAGGGCATGCATGCATGACGTCGGAGATGGGAAGTGGTAAAACGAGGGGCGCACGTGGCACTTGAAATGGACGAGGGCGAGGAGGGTGCGCATGGAGAAGAGAGAGAGAGAGAGAGACGGCGAAACACCGCAGCCACCTGTCGAGCCCGCGTCAATCACCACTGCATGGTATTGGCGGGTCCCTGGGCACCGGGTGGCTCTAAGGGAGAAAGGGGAAGATATATATATATATATATATATATATATATAGAGAGAGAGGGAGAGCGAGACAGAGAACGATCCAGACCAGGAAAGAGATCAGGAAGACAAGACAGACAGAACATGATGAACCACATAATGCAAACGTTGATTTGCGTAAATGCACACACGGTAACATACACACACGTGGAAATCTGCAAACTGTCTGTGCCATGGCACTCACACCTGAGCACAATAGGCAACAAAGCGATGCCTGTTTACGATACTCCGCTCGCTCCTGAATGTAGCGCTGAATGCCGCCCTGGACTTCGCATGGCATGCCCCAATCCATGGCGCACTGGTAATCTGGCGCTGGTAGCCTGTCTTCAACTTAGACATGCGCCTTGAGTGTCGGCATCCTTTTCGTGCCTAACTTCGTCTGCAGTGTGGTCGTATAGCGTTCCTGTTCTCACCATCGAGGGGTGGAGACATACAACCTGGTCATGCATCATAGAACCTGCGCGCATTAGCATACACGCGCGCACGCACTACAGCAAAAATGCAAGTACACATAACCCAATGCGCGCACGCGAGACTGCGCAACACATGCACGCACTGCGCACGCACATGCATATATTAACATACGTTTAAGCATGCTGCATACGCTTGCAGGCGCGGTACGTACCCATGCTATGCATGCACGCGTACCCCTTGGCCAACAAGCTCCCGAAGATGAAACGGCAGATAGGAACAGGTGCTGCATTTTCACGAGCTGTACCCTTAATCTCGACTTCAAACTGTTTGTGCGTTGGAGCGTGCGTGTACAGCTTGGCTGTGGATTGAACGCTCACCTACTCGCGCGCTGCCCTGCATGGTAATGGCCCCCCTCGGCGATTCAACGAAATCGGAGTGGCATCTGGCCTGTTCGGGTCGACCTTGGTTAGGTCAGGTCTCCGGCTGGCACAGCTTGGGCATCTACAGTGCGGTGTTACTGCGCATTCTGGTTGCAGGATCCGTTTGTGACTGGTGCGCTCACGCATCGTCATCCATCTTCCATAGCTGTGACGGACTACTCTTGAGCATGGGTCGAGTGCCATGTGCTCAGGCTTCTTCCACCGTTTCCTCTGAGCACCCCTTACGATGGTAAGTCATATGGCTTCGTGTTTAATGTACCACGTCTTCACTGCTATGCTCTCTTCGCTACTCGTCCGAGCGAACTACATTGGCTTCCATTCCCCACTTGCCGAACGTATCAATCCCCTTCGATTTCGTAGATCACGACGCCCAGAGGCGGACCCTTCTAGCGTGGTGCCAGCGAGTGTGTCGCGCCAGTCTGATGTGCGCGGATCGTCTCGGTGAGACACGCGGTTCGGTCAACCTATCCTGCCTGTTCGTGTCACGGTTGGCCCGCCTTGGCCTCCACCCGGGGTCTTTCCTGCAGATGTGTCAAACCAAGCGGCCAAGATTTATGATCCCTAGTGCATGAACGGGGAACTTAGTGTGGTCAAGTCTTCACTATGTTAACCGGATTCGGGGCTCTTTCATCCTCGACGATGTCTTGGCTGGACATCCGGACCGTTCATGTTGGCCTCCGCTGTGCCACCAACACGTCTCGCCATTCCCTGTTTCATGACGTCAACTACTCGTCTTGGAACTGTTCGCATCTCCTCCTGAGTGTCAAATTTACCACAAACTGGCTATTGGCTGCGGTCCGACACGGGCCCGACTGGGGCACAGGATGACGAAGGCGGTGCGGACGACAACGTGGAGGTCAGTAAGGCGCTATCCCAGAGGTGGTTGATAAGATAGCCGAACGGGTGAGAGAGCCTGCGACGTGGCCAACGAAAAGAGCTCGCGCACAACATGGATGCGTAGAGAGCGCGCACGTAGAGAGGAAATGCTGCGGCCGCCTGCGGAGCCCGCGTCAATCACAACTGGATGGGGGCCTTCGGGTGCATCGGCAGCAGAGGCCACCATGCCCGCAAGCCATAGCAGTGGGAAGAGGGTGAGCATCTCTAGCACGTGCAGGGCATCAGGCCGCAGGTCACCCGCCTAATCCAGCCATCGGCACCTTGCAGGGCCCTCTGTCCGATCCTGAGCCGAACATTGCAACCCATGTTGGATAATCTGCTCCGCGAGATCTGGAGCAGTCAGCATCGAATCAGAAGACAGGATATAATTGGAATGTCCGTCGGATCGTGCTGCATCGGTTCGGAGTCGAAATCCAGTCGGATCGGCTGCGCCTGGATGCACAACAACGCCACGGAAATTGCGGGCCGAATCAGATCGTCGGAAACCAACATCGAACCTGGTCGACCCGGCCGAAACCGATGCCCAACCAAATCGGCCGTATGGAGATGGACACTGCTTCTGCAATCCACCCGACTGGCCTGTCCCGACTTCTTTTGCACGGCGCCTGGAAATCGGCCTCGCCAGTCGGGCCTCGGAGACGCGCCACCTCCCTCTGCCGACGTCGTGGCCGCGACGGCGTCGAGGAAGATAGGCACGCGCGCCCTTGCAAAGAGGGGAGGGCAAGGAGGAGGCTGGACGCGTGTGTCCTCTCTTTTCTTCCACCGGCTGCCGCCAGCCCGCTGCTGGCTTCGCCGCTGGCTGGGCTGCCGCCGCCTGCTACGCTCGTCGTTCGCTCGCTCGCGCGCTCTCGGGTGCGCCGGTCGGGCGCTTCGGCGGGCGGCCGGACGCTCTGGAGCGGGAAAATCAAACAGCAGGAGGATGGACGAGGAGGAGGAGGATGGACGAGGAGGACGAGGAGGAGGATGGACGAGGAGGACGAGGAGCGGGAAAATCAAACAGCAGGAGGATGGACGAGGAGACGAACGTTCCTCCGACGGCAGGGCCCCGCATGAGAATCCCCCTGCAATGGGGAGGAGGTGGGGGAGGAGGAGGAGGAGGAGGGCTGGGGGAGGAGAGGCAGGAAGCAGAGTAGGGGTCGGGAAGGGGTCCTCCGCCAGAGCAAGAAGGATGAGGGCGACGGGGAGGCAGGAACAAGAGCCTCTCAGCATATTCGTTAGGGAGATTATGATGTGGCGTCCTATCGTCGGGGCATGGTTCGTATCGCGCCTCTTCCAGGTCCAAGTCTTCTCGTCCAGCCTCCTCCTTACCCTCCCTTCACCTTGCCTGTGCAGGCTACGGCCTGGAGTTCTCCCAAAGAACAGATTTCTCTCTGTCTAATAGTGGTGTGCCCGCTTGCAGACCTGGCTGCTTGGTCAAAGGCCCGCTCATCTTGCGCACAACCCGCCTGCGCTCCCCCAGACTCGCCATTTCCACCCCCCTCCCCGTCGTCTCCCTACATCGCATCACTCATGTCGCCTCCCCTGCTGCCCCCGTCCCCACGAAACAACCAGGCCCCATCCTCAACACAGAGCGCCGCTCCACGATCCCTGGAGCCGCCTTGAGATTTGGCGGCGCGCAAAAGGGGGCAGGGGGAGGGGGGAAGGCTTCTTAGAAGCGCCCTGCTTCTTAGAAGGCCTCGGCCTTACGTCTGTAGAGAAGGCCCGCGCCTTCTAAGAAGCAGGGGTGCTTCTAAGAATCCTTCCCCCCTCCCCCTGCCCCTTTTGCGCGTTGCCGAGAGATCCTCCCACCTGCCGCCCATCTGCATCCCAACCTCCTGGGCCTCCCTCTTCCCCGCGCCTCCCCCCAGCCCTCAGGCTCCCCTGCCCCGCGCTACCCTGCCTAGCATTATCTTCGCTACCCTCGCGTAGACGTCGCTGCATGCACAGCGAAACCTGGCATGACATCTCCCCTTGGCAAGATAAAACGACGCGAAGATCGGGACAAAATCGGATCGGGATAACTCGAAATCTCTGAGAATCGGCGGGTTTGGAGGATGTATTGGGCGCCGCGGCCGCTCCAGAGCGTTCCGGAACGCTCTGAGAGCGCTCCGGAACGCTCTGGAGCGATTTATCCCGATCCTAGCCCTGTTTTACAAGACGCCTGCACCCGGTGCCTGCGACTGCTCTTCCCTGGCCGAACCCTGCCGGCCGAACAGCTTCAAGCGCGCTGCCATCTCCATGGCTCGACCCCGATCGCGCCTGCCTGGTGACGATAAGAGGCAAGAGTAGAGAAGCAGTAGCATGGGCCACTGGCCCTCATCGCGTGGACCTTTTTTCCCCACGCAGCTCAGGTGGCACACTGCTCCAAACAAGGTGCGTGCAAGGCTGGCCGGCAGGCGGCTCTTCCGCGTCT